GTGCGTGCGTGCGTGCGTGCGTGCGTGCGTGCGTGCGTGCGTGCGTGCGTGCCGTGCGTGCGTGCGTGCGTGCGTGCGTGCGTGCGTGCGTGCGTGCGTGCGTGCGTGCGTGCGTGTGCGCAATCGTTCATGTTTGTTTTGATTTATTCTTCTGAAGGCTCTTCGTGATTTTCGCCGTTATCTTTCCAATGTATTGGTGTTCTTTCGACATTGTTTTTATTTGATTCTTTGCTAATTCCATATATATCGCAATTTTTAGTTTTATTGAATGTTATTTTTAATTTAACCAACAATTTCTGTCTAATACGTTCGTTCCTGACTCCACACACTAATTGATCACGCAGTGCATCATCGAGAAAACTTCCAAAATTATATTGTTGTGTCAAACTTTTTAACTCAACGCAAAAATGCGTAATAGTTTCCTCGGGCTTTTGCATACGCTTATGAAAACGATGGCGTTCAGCTATTATATTTATTTTTTGCATATAGTAATTCTGTAGTATTTTTTTCAATTGTATGTACGACTTTGTGGCCGGTGCGCCTGGAAGAAGGTTGTTCCGTAAAACCTCGTAACATTTGGGTCCTATTATTGTCGAAAATAGTGCAATTTTCTTTGTTTCCGCTATATCGTTTACAATAACGAATTATTCGAAACATTTTCTATACTGAAGATGAGAACGTTCGTCGTTATAACGAAATATAATATATTATATTCTGCGATCGATCCAATGTAGTTTGTCATTTTGTCTATCCTTTATTTTCTTTGCGATGGTAAGGATTAACTACTAGAAGAATCACACAACTAGTCGGGATTACACGAAATATCTCTAATCCTTTATTACAGATAACCTTTTACAAAAGCTGAACGCCACGCTTATTTTTACCTATTCGCCTTCGTTTTTGTCTCTATCTGTCTATTCACTCGAACGCCCTTCTTATTACCAACTCGTTGTCTTACACTACATTAAGATGATCTTAAGTCCGTACTTAAAATGAATAAGTTACATTTATGAATCATATCTAAACGTTTTCAAAAAAAAGCGTCTTCAATAAATTACGTCTTTAGATTTTGCTCAAGTATAGACTTGCTTTACAACTGCGAATCGAAGCGCTATCTTAAGACGTACTATACTTAAGACGATTTTGAAAATGAGTCTTGACTATGAATACGGCTCATAGACTATCGAAGTATGTGATAATCTTTATCGTAATGAATTTTTAAGAAAAGTTATTTTGTTAAATTCTGTAATATAAAATATAATTTTGAAAAAAATATTAACTGGAAGAAAAAACAAGAAGTTTAATTTTTTATGTACAATTTTAGTCTCTGCAAATTTTAATATTCATATGTATATGTAATGATAATATATAATTTACCAATATATTTAAAATAATAGATCGACAGAAGATGCATTGAAAAGGATGGCAAAGCGAGTAAAACAATTAGAAGCTGAGGCAGTGGATCTTCAAGCATCCTGGGACGCCGAACGTCGTGAACTTCTTCGAAGAGAATTACTAACGTCCCAATTGTGCGACCTCATGGTACCCAATCTTCGCCCTGGCTGTCCCTTTCGAGATATTGCTGCGATGAGAGCGGCGGCGACCTGGTGTGATGAATTAGGCCGATGGCGCTTGCCGGATGTATCTCCTCATATACCTCTACCTCCGGCCGCTCCTACGGCACGGACAGATATTCTTCATCCTACTAATATTTCCTCCAAGGCGGATCATAATAATAATAGTAATAATAGTAGCAATGACGAGAGTGAGAGTGGTCAGGATAATGACAACGAAGAAGATAATAAACGAGATACAAAGGAGAAAAAAGGTTGGAATGTCGTAAACACTTATTTTCGGAGAAGCAGAGTGGATACACTTCTGGCACATGCAAGAGAAGCAAAAACTTTTGGTAAGTCTATGTCATATGCACGCGCGGATATGTAAATTATGTACTATTTAATATTACTTAGTAAACACAGAATATAACAACTATATAACACACTAGATAGTCAATTTGTCGAGATCATGTCATTACTAATTATAATATATATTACAAATAGTATTGTATGCTACATACAATACTATGTTGGCAGAATTTTGACAGTAGCGGAACGTGCCATTTCATTATCAATTAATGCAAAAATACAGAAGGAAACAGCGCAATAATATGCTACAAAAATTAAAGATATATTACCTGACCGGTATAGCCATGCAAAAAGTGAAACTGGAAATGTATTAATACTTGTATTTATACTTACAAAAATGACGGTTTTTTTACAGAGTGACCCAAATTTAAATGTCAAAACTTCGGGAGCGTGTAAGATCGATAATCCAAAAATGTTCTTTAGAGATACGTTCGTTCTTGCTTTGTTTTGGAGAAAATTGCAAAAAAAGATACAATGTTTTTTTGTAATTTTTCAACTTTGTACTGATTTGTTACTTATTTTTTCACGTTGTCACTTGCTTAATGTAGATGTTCAAAATATTGGCAGCAATGCAAGCATTGCATCTAGTACAGACAGCTCGTTTTGAAGCCAAACACTGGTCTGGTGATATTTGCTGCACTGCAGCTATTTCGGTCTCTCAATTGCTCTCTTGAGTTGACTGCCAACAAATATATTTCTGCTTCAGGTCCTCCCTTATACACAAAAAGGTCCAATAGTGATGGCTTCTGATGAATAACTGACGAATTTATAGGAGAAAAGCAGAAATATAAACAAACAGAAAAGTTTCTACCAGAAAACGATATTATTACTTTCGCGTACGATTTCAGCGATTATGATACTAGGCTATTGCTTGAAACTCAAAAATTGTCCCGATTCGGAAGAAATTAGTTAATGACATTTTATTGTTTTATACGATAATTTGGCATAAAAGTAAAGTAAAACCATGAAGTGCTACTAACAAGGGAACCTCGCGAAGTGTCAAATTCTGAGTCTAATGAAACTTGGTACACTTTGAGGTCACATAAATAGATGAATTTAGAAATTATTTTGGGCTAAAAAACGGTTTAAAGGGATGAAACCACCCCTTACATATAAATTAATTTTTCTTTGTTTTGTTATATTTTGAAAACTATTCAAGATATCAAAAAATGTTTTATACAAAAGTTTTATAGTAAAATTACTTCTATTAATTTACATTAATAGAATTTTTTTTAAATGATTATTTTCAAAAATTTTTTAAATATAATTATTCTAAAAAAATCTTATTAACGTGAATGAATAGAAATAATTTTACTGTAAAACTTTTGTATAAAACATTTTTTGATATCTTGAATGGTTTTCGAGATATAACGAAAAAATTAAAATTAAAAATTAATTAAGTTTAACTTTAAAGGGTAATTTCAAAATTTTTATTGCGTTTTTCCATCGCAACTGATATTTTGTAAATTCATCTGTTTACGTAACCTATGTGCACAAAATTTTATTAAAATCATAACTTGACACTTTTGTTATAAAACTAGTTGTATATTCACACATATCAGTTGAAAAATGTTTTTTTCATTTATGACAAAACATAGTTATTTCTACACCATCTTGCGGTAGATAGCACGGTGCATTTTGTTTATAGTGATTTTTCCAATAAACCTAAATCCACTGTCATTTTTTAATACATAAGTTATTTGAAATGCTGTCTTCCCTCTTGAATTGCTTTTATGATATTAATAAAATTATTAAAATAACATTTTTATTTTGAATAATTTTTGAGACATAATACTTAAAATATTTTTATTTTAAATATAGTGTTTTAAATATAATGTCTATAAAAAAATCTTTTTAATATCGTTTTAATATCTAAAATAATTTTAAAAAATTTAACTTTTTGTACCTCTTTTATATGAAAAAATACATATAGTGCATTAGAATTGCCATAAAATATTAGGGAATTTTATTTTTTATTCTAAATGTATTTATAATTTCTTATGTAACAATTTACGATAACAAATTATAATTGTTACTAATAAAGGATAATTATTCCATGTGACAGCATTTGCATTTGCATCAATTTTGATATTTCTATGTTATCAAGATGAGCTATCATGCCATATATTTCGACGTTTCCTATAATGTATAAGCACATTTATTATAAATATTTAAAATAAATATTTATAATAAATGTGCTTATACATTATAGTTATATTTATTTTAAATATTTATTTTTAATATTAGCAATAATATATACTTATCAGAAATATTTAAAACTAGTTAATCTTACTATACTAACATAAGTCCTATATAACAAAATGTTTACAATTGTGATTTTCTTCAAAGAAATACTGCATACAAAAATGTTCCTTGTACCAGACACAACGTATTATACGGATGCCCCACATGTGGAACAGAGTGATATTTCTTGAATATTCTTTCCAGAAAAACATAAATCTACTGAATTTTCGAAATATGGCGGTTGTTCTTTAATACACTGCTCAAAAAAATTATGGCATAGAAAAATTGTGAGCAAAAATTGGTCAATTTTGGTTAACGGTAACTCCGAGAAAAATCATCGTAAAATGATGAACTTTTTTTCAAATGAAAGCTTGAAATCTATACTTTAAGATACTGTAAGTCGATTTTAAATTAATGCACCCCTGTTGCTATAAACTCTAAAATCTGAGAGCATGTTTGCCACACTAAAAATTGCAAAATTTGAACGAGTGCACGGACTTG